AGTTTAGTTGCCAAGACCACTGCTTGGGGAGAAGGGCTTAAATGACTCCCATTTTCACAGCCATTGTGCAATGGCTACCTTAAATAATATTGAGATTACACGAGGGAAGAGAAGACATGCTGAGGATCTATTGTGCAGATAAAAGGAGAGAGGAAATTAAAAGATTTGAGGGGGAAAAAATAGAAATGAATGCTTGTTTGACCAGACAATGAAACAAAATGCAGTGTATGGACTGATATATACTAATCTATCTGATATGAAAGAAGAATTGCTATGATTGCTAGATAATTATTTTGTTTATATTTTACTTTAATAGTATATGAGAATCTGACACATCCATAATATTTTTTATTAGATTTTTTTAAACCAATTTTCTCAAACAAATTTTACTCACTTTATATTTTTATTAGGTATTTTTTAATAGATACACAAAGTCATAAGTATAGATAGATAGATAGATAGATTAAATGTATGTTTATTACAACTTAAAAAATATATAGAAATATTACATATAATATCTTAATTCATATGATTCATTATAAAAATTAGTACAAAAATTAGTGAAAATGATATGTGATTGCTGGATAATTTTTGTTTACACTTTTGCTTAAGTGTATACGATAATCACATGTCCATGAGATTTTATCATTTGATTTTATTTAAAAAAAAATATTTTAATCAATAAAAAAAAACATGTAAACCCACATTTAAATTTTTTAACAGTTTTTAAAATTGCTATGTAAAGTTAGAAAATATAAACATTCCCTATAATCTCTCAATTCGTATGATTCATTATAAAAACATATGCATGTACAATAATTAGTGAAAATGCTGTTGTATCATGTCACACTGCAGGACAACCCATGATTTTTGGAGACTATCAAATAGCAGAAGAGGAAACCGGGGTTGTTTACACACTCAGAGATGTCCAACCTCGGACAGATTCCCTAAACCGCGTCCATCCTCTCAGACTCAGCTGGTCTGAGAAAGCCTCCTCTCCTTGCCCCTTCATTCTCAGCCTTATTTGTATTCGTTAATGACTTTATAATTCCTGGCCAGCGGGAACCTGCTTTTAAATCTATTAGTTTAGTAGCCTGGCAAACAAAGGGAGTCTGGGGCTGGTGGCACCATGCCAGCAGGAGCCGCCACCATAAAGGCTCTTGTCCATCTGTGTCGCCTTCTAACGCAGCTTCACTCCTCCTCTTTTTCGTTTCGTTCTCCCCGGTGCCGTTTCTACAGATACTTCTGCACCATCCCCGGCTGATATTCCTCTTACCGTCGCCCGTATTGATCTCTGCGATGGCCAATGAAGTGTGAAAGAGACTTCTGTTTTTCCAGCAATGATAAAATGTCAGCTCGCTCTGTCGACGTATGAAAAAAAGCACTCGATCGCAAATATCCCGGGGTGACGTTTCAAAAAACGTGCCTCGGAATGTGACCGAAATTCATTCGTATTGTCAGGCCGGGGTACGATATCTTTATTAGGGCTGAAATGAACCGAGTCGAGTGCGTTTACCTCCCATTTCGGATGTTTTTCATCTCTTTGAGGGTCATTTCATATGCTCAGAATATCATTTCGGCTCAAGCGTGCGTTAATTTGACATTTGTAATGCATGTACAATGTTCCATGAATGCATTCATAAGGCCTGAATATCTCAAATTTTTGTGAGGCCTCTTTATTTTGCTTTCCGTCTCTCTCTCTCCCTCTGTAACATGTCAGAAAGACTGCATCCTCCTCTCATCTGAGATGCTGGTCAGATCAGGGGGCCCTTCATTGTATATTTTACCTTGGAGTTGTTTTGATTTCACTGAAGACAGGGAGCAGCTTTTTTTCCCCATTTCCCTTTCTCTCCCTCTCTTTTTTTTTATTCCTTCGGCAGCCCGTGTGTCTTTTGCATGCATTGTCTTTGAACAATGCTCTGTTTGAACAGTGCGCTCGCAACTCTGGATACAGGCACGCTCGACGGATCGACTTTTATCACCTGCTTTTCCCAGTGATTCTATTAACGCTTCTGTTTCATTAAAAAAGGGGGACGCGGCCAACAGACAGGCGCACCGGCGAAGAGACAGACAAGAGTGACTTCAAACAAAGTCAGTCGCGAGACTGCCACAGCGCGCAGACAGCCCTTCATTCGGGGGTACTGACAAAGCAGGGCCGGATGAGGCGTAGAACTGTGTATGTGTGTGTGTGTGTGTGTGTGTGTGTGTGTGTGTACCTGTGAGGTGCTAAATCATTAATTAGAAGGAAGCCACTTCTGCCTCTCTAATGCACTGTTGCTAATCCATGAGCATTGAAACATATGGTCTCACAATCAAGCTAGTCCAACAGGCAGAGTGGGTCAACAGGTATGTTTACTCGTGGAGGTCCCCATACATTGAAGCGTACAGATAATCAGCTAAAAAAGAACAAACAGAACTATAAAGATAATTAAATGAGAATATGTTTAAAACCACCCATGCAAGACCATTGATTAATTCTTATTAAAAGTGTCACAATCACAAATTTCAATTAAAATTGCAAATTGTGCTATGTGACAATGTTCTTGGACTTTATACTGACACCTATTGGCATAAATACATTTATTTAGCCATAAATTATTTATTATGCAAGCAAAAGTGTTTCTTCCATGTCTTACAGCTTTTAACTGCTCTCATGGAGTCTCATGTACACTATGGTTCCAACATTCTTTTAAAGAAGTCTTTATGCTTACGGAGACTGCATCTATTTGATCAAAATGTAGTAAAAGCAGCAGCATTGTGAAATGTATTATTACAATTTAACATTTTATTTTTATATATTTTAAAATTTATCAGCCAGTGTCACATGATCCTTCATAAATCATTTTATTATGCTGATTTGGTGCTTAAGAAATTGCTTCCTATTATTATCAATATTGAAAACAGTTGTGCTGTTTTTAATATTTTTGTGGAAACCATGGAACTTTTTTTTACACTACATAAACCAAATCAGGTATGCAGTTAATAACAACACATGACCGGCAAGTCAGCACTACATTTTTATACTATAAATCTCAACAATGCATAACATGCAATATTACAGTGAAATGTAAACCTACAATCAACTATGAATACCTCCCTAAACTTATTTCATCCTACCAGATAATCAGATAAAACATTGAAATGTTTAAATATTGAAATGGTTCATGCTTATCTCTTTAGATAATCATAGTTTTAAAAATGTAATAATTTATATTTTTATGATGAATTAGAATCTGAAACGGGGAAAACAATAAAGTCACTTGAAAAGTTAACAAAAATGAGGAAGAGAAAATTTTTCAAGATAGTTTTAATCAGTCCTTCATATGAATAAAAATGCATACTTTTATAAAAAATTCATCCTTGATGTAAACGTATCCAAAGTTGCAGAAACAAGATATTTGCTTGAATTTTTTACTCTGGTGTGAATGTTGCATCTCATGAAAAAAATGTTCACGTATGTTGTTGGGAACCCGGCAGTCAGTCTGCTGCAGGCAGCGGCGTTGAACTCTGACTCTGGCACAGGAAGTGAAGTCAGCAGCCGTGTAGCTGCTGCTCCAGAAGGCGATGGCTGTGCTCGCGGCGGGGCTCTTCCTCCCCGCAGCAAAGTTGGCATGGTGCGGAGGTGCTGGTGGCGCGGTGCTGGTTCTGGCGCTCTTGGTTGCTGCGAGCGGTGCATGCCCTCTGTCATTCATGGGGAGTGGCTCTGTCCAACTGTCACTTCCTGACAGGCTGATAATCAATCTCTTTATTAACTGCTCTGCTGCAGACGGCCCGCCCGGTAGGGAGGGTGGGCAGCCTGCACGGTACACCGCAGCACCGCACTCTGCTGGGGTCGGAAAGGTTGGCACTACAAGACGGCACCGCTTCCAGGCAGGACCCATCCTTGGAATCATTAGGAATCACACCGACGAAGCCCAATCATCCCGGTGATAATTTATCAAGAGGAAAGGTGCGGTCACATTAGCGAAATTTTGTGTACAAAAAAGCTCCACTGTCAATAGAGTAGAGATGTGTGAAGCACTGCTCACACAGAAGCCCTTTTCAAACGAAGTAGCTTTCTGTTGGTCAGTGTGAAGAATTTTCATGACCAACGTCAAAATCTGCGTCTTGAAAACTTCGCCCTCACAAGAAACTCCCCAACTTCAAGGTCTTTTTTTTTGCCCTCACGTGAAAATCCAGATTGCGCAAATTCCTATTGTATTGATGGGATTTCGTCAATCAATGATTCGCATGATCAACATGAACACGAGCGAAATCTGCATGGTGAATTTTTTCACTGTCAAATGAAACTCCCAACTCTTCAAGGTCCTATATTGAAAATGTTAATGGAAATTCAAATCGCATGAAATTTGCGTAGCGTAGCATAACTTTTCTGTCCTTGTGCAAAAATCCAGATTGCGCAAATTCCTATTGTATTGATGGAATTTCGTCAAGCAACGAGACACGTGACCAACTTGAACATGAGAGGAATCTGCATGCCGAATTTTTTCGTTCTCACACGAAACTCTCGATTGCACAAATTCCTATAGAAAATGTTCACAGAAATTCGTGAACATACGCAAAATTGATGTGGCAAACTTTTTCGACCTCGCGCAAAACTCCTGATCTTGTGAATTCCTATTGGAATGACTCACCCTCAAAAGTTTGCCGAGCAACAATTCGTGACAAACTTTTTTGTCCTCACTTGAAACTCCGGATTCGAATTCCTATTGAATTGCCTGGATTTTAAAGCTAAAATTTCGCTGAGCAGTGGTAAAGTTGACTGCAACTGAAGCCGTACCTCACAAGACAACCGTGATGTTTTCCATTTTTTTGTAACTCATCGCTACCAAATTGAACATGCCAAGCAGAGTAACGATTGTTTTTCTACTCTCACTCATCGCATTTCAATTCCGTACAAGCTAATGCCAAAGTCATGTTAGATGGAGCACTGATGAAGAAACAGGGCTGTATCACATTAAATATGAATAAGCTACAACTCTATCACTCTCTGTTCATAGGAGGACTTCCTGGTCGAAACGCAGAAGACGCTGCTGAGCAGGATCTCCGATCTGTGAGTGGCGAATGCGACAGCTGCCAAGGGGACGGCTCTGCGGCCTGCTTCTCCAGACCTGGCCGACTGCGCCGAGACCACCTATCTGCTCCCCACCCAAACAGCTGACTAGAAGACATATAAGCATAATAATTCTATGGCAAATAACGATAACCATAAAACTCCAAATCCTGGTAATAAAGCCGAAGCCTCTCTCCCTAATGAAACAGTGGCCCTCCTGCTGTTTCCTGCCTAATGTTCCCGCCGAGGGTTCCTCCACTTTCCATAAAGCAATTTTGCAAGCCCACTCCCAACGTGAATCATCTCGAAACGAAGAGAAGCCTCTCCCTCCATCTCTCCTTGTGTCCCCGGAGGGTGACGCTGACTAAATCTGTGTTGATACAGAGGTGTGCTCTAAATCCTGTTTGCTCGGGTTCCATCTCCCCTAATATTCACACTCGTGTATGAGGCCCCTTCCCAGCCTGCGTCTGCTAATGTAGCGTATCGTCGTCTGGATGACAAGACGACATCGGCGAGCGCCTCAAACTCCCTCACATGTATCATTTACTGCTGGTGCAGAGAATCACAATGTGTGGGAAGGAGAACATATGTTAAATTTAAGAAGCTGGGATTTACCTCTGTGCGGGTCTTAGTTTACATGCGCTACTCAATGGTAGCCAATAACAAAGGACAAATCACTTTTTCTTTCGGTTTACGTTGCGGATGCACATGAAAAGGTGTTATATCTGAAAATATAGGCATCTTTTGTGGAACTCGCACTAAATACCATCTGCTGTGCGTCTTTAAATTCAAGGTAATTAAGAATATGTTTGGTAAATGAAAAACAACCTTTCTGAAATGCAATAAATGAGAGTTTGAACGGCGAGATTGAGTTTGTAAATTTGATTTTAATTTTCCGTTAACATTTTCAGACTGTATGCAATTATGGTCTCTAAAAATAGGCTTGTGTACTGTATTTTTTAATCAATTAGATTTAATTTCTTCAACACATGCCATTAATTTATTACCAATTAATGGTAATACCATTATTTTTTACCAATAAATTGTAAAAAAAAAAAAAAAAAAAGAAACTTTAAAAAAAGAAAATGCATCTAAGCTGAAAATACTTTTTTATTTAAAAATGAATAAGTAAAGGCCTTTCCAAAATAAGAAACATCAGATAGATGAATTGTTCCACACACATTGCATTTCAAAAACTACAGTATTCGCACTCAGAGATTTGAATGCTTTTTTTGGCAAATCCCAAATTACTCAAAGATTTCTTGATTGACAGATGAGGGGGGATAACTGTATTTAGCCAGGGACCATCTTTTCTCGTCTGGCGTGATTTGGGTCTCATGGAGGATTGGCCCCCCTGGTGTCTGCCCCCCTCCTCCTCTCGGCACGGGGCAGGGGCAGATTGACAGAACAGCATGGGGGCAAGCACCGCTGTGCCAACAGCCCCCCCACGCTCTACCTGATGCTTTTAACAAAGGCTTCCATCTCACCAACTCCGCTGCCGAACATCGCCCAGCCAGCTTCAACCCACAACTCTGGTCTGCTCTGGAACAAACAGACTTTGAAACCTGATCGTAAGGATGTTGGGAACAGATGCACAGACGCTGGGAATGATGCAGCGTGTACGGCTGTACTCAAAGATAAAATGTCAAACATTTTTCAGTCGGAGCCCAAGAAATTGGATAGTTGCTAGTAAGCACCTGCTTGCAATTGACAGGAGGCTATTGGGGGCTTGTTTTCTATTATATATAAATAGAGTTTTATTTAGAGGGAGACTGGGGCTAGTTTTCCCCCTTTTAGTTTTTTTTTTTTTTTTTTT